CGAGCAGAGTCTGCCGAACACTTAGGCCACGTACAAGTGGGACAACAACGATGCTACAACTCCCATTATCGTCAACCTGCGGAGTACAAAGTGGATGATTTGGTGTTAGTCCGTTTTCCCCATCTTACGGTACGCGGTTTATCTAAGGGGCTCCTTGCACAGTGGAAAGGACCGTATCGGGTGTTGCGGCAAGTTGGACCCCAAGTTTATGAGGTTCGGCATGACGTTCAGCAGGCCGATCCTCCGGAGATTGTGCATGTGCAGCGGTTAAAACGCTTCATACAAAGGGATCAGGAGCAGTTAGTACCGTCTACAGATCCGCCGATACCTCCGCCTAACGTTCCTCCAGATCCCGGCCCATCTACAAGAGAACCCTGACGTTCCTCCAGATCCCGGCCCATCTATAAGAGAACCCTGACGGCCTTCCATTATTCCGAGAGGAGGGGATGATGTGAGGGCCAAGTGTACGGCTACGATGCCGTATATTAATATTAGCGTAGTGGGATTTTGGTAGCCGTCGGATTGGTTTCAATCCGGACCACTCGCTCCTGTATATAAGCTAGGGTTTTTGGGCTAATTGATATGCACATTTCTGTATTCCCTTTCCATATTCCATGCACTCACAATTATAATTTTAGTATTCTAGTAATTTTCAAGTAAATCAAAGAATAAAAAACGCCAAGAAGTCAATAGAAAATCATCCAGGTAGTGGTCCAACTTCATTGAGCCTAGACTATTGCAATTGAGCCTACCCTCTGCAACAGTCTGTAAGCAACTAAATTTTCCATTCTACTTTAGTCACTTAACCACACCTCCGACCACTTGGAGGAGTCTCATTCACAACCTCCATAAGTCCAATTCAGGACTTGGGACTTGCTAGCCCCGAGAATGGCATCCATGCCACTCAACATTTGCACTTGGTCCAAGTGCTCCACGTGTCCGATCCCATGACCGACACTCAAAGGTACCACCGACATGGCAGCCCGTTACGCTAAGGCCATGCCCAATCACCTTCGCCACACTGGTAGTCCAATACCACTTGCATCACAGTCTTGGCTCTCCAAGACTAGGCAAACCATCCATGAGTGGTCATCTCAGATCCACTCCTTAGCATCCTTAGGATGCCCACCGACAAGGGGAATAGCCTTCCCCAATATCCCTCTGTCAATCCCCACTAAGTCCCTTTCTGCCCTTGACCGTGTTTGCCAACACTACCACTGGATCGAGACCCACAGGCCCGACCACTAAGTCCCACGGTCCTCTAGGACTTCCTCACCACACGACTGTGTCCTTGGTCACTACCCCAGAGGACTGCTCCTCTTCCTTACCACAGTCTGGGCCTTTGGGACAACATTTCGGAACACCGTGGCCTTACGCGAGCCACCTGGGTACTCTCCCCGCCTTCCGCCTTTAGGCGCTCTAGCCATGGGCTTAGAGCGAGGTTCCATTGAGCCACGACAGGTATCCAAGTAGGTAGTGCCACCCACACTTGGACTGGGAGCATCGGCCAGTCGATCTCCCGGGGGAACTAGAGCCGGCTCTTGAACACTTCACCAAGCTACCCCACCTGTCGGTCTGTGTTCACTCTAGTCTTGGACTTCCCAGTGGGCAGCTCATCACCCAACACTGGGTTCGGCCTTCCTGAGCCAAACTGGCCTTTCCTGGCCAAACTGGCTCCACTGCAGTCTTCCCCCTACTATACTTTTGGAGCTCACCAAACCCCCCAGGGTCTGGGAGACGAACGCTTTGGGCTTTCACCCTCTCAGACTCGAACTCGGACTCGGACTCGGACTCGGACTTGGACTCGGACTCGGACTCGGACTCGGACTCGGGCTCGGTCTTGGCCTTGGCCCTTGTCTCGGTCTCGGTCCCGGTCTCGGTCTCGGTCTCGGTCTCGGTCCCGGTCACGGTCTCGGTCTCGGTCTCGGTCTCGGTCTCGGTCTCGGTCCCGGTCTTGGTCTCGACCTCGGACTCCATCTCGGGTCCTTCTCGGACTCCATCTCGGACTCCGTCTCGGTCCATCTCGGACTCCATCTCGGACTCCATCTTGGGTCCATCTCGGACTCCATCTCGGGTCCATCTCGGACTCTGTCTCGGTCCATCTCGGACTCCATCTCGGGTCCATCTCGGACTCCATCTCGGGTCCATCTCGGACTCCATCTCGGACTCCATCTCGGACTCCGTCTCGGTCCATTTCGGACTCCATCTCGGACTCCACCTCGGACTCTAACTCGGGTCCTTCTCGGACTCCATTTCGGACTCCAACTCGAGTCCATCTCGGACACTTCCACGTGTCATGTGTTGGTCCTTTTGGGGTCCCTTTTTGGAGCCTCGCTTTTTGCTCGCTTCGTGCTCGTTCCTCAAGCACTTCGTTGGGAGTTCCACTCCCGCTCTTGACTTTTCAAGTCGGAGCTTTTGGTCCAAACGTGTTACGCTCGTTTGGCTCTCGCTTCGGCCACTACCACGTGGCGCCCTTCCGGCTCCACTTTGGGGCCTAGGGATTTTGTGTCTCACACAGTCCAGCCAAGAGTGTCAATCTTTGGCAAGCTATTCAATTTTCTATTACAATTTCAAATTTGAGATAAGAATATACTTTGCTCAAGGGTATATTATATTTTTAAGTAGCCACTAATTAATGAGAATTGAATTTATACCATTTGCTATAGCACACTTTATTTCTCTCCCCTTAAGTCAATTGGAATAAAAACAATTGCTTGATGAGAGAGCCTTTAATGGCTATTTTATCCCCATTTATCTTCCAAAGTTCCAACTATAACAATATATTAAAACCTCATCCCATGATCACATGTGTTACAAAATTATCTTTAGAATATCCTTTAATACTCATATTATAAGCTTTATTTTAGTTTCTTTTCACTTAAATCATGTAAAAGAGTTCCCATTCTCCCAAAGTTTGTGGATGTTACCTAGTAGGCATATTTTTGAGAAAATCTCACCCATGAAAGCTTTAATGACATGTAAAATTATCAAGTAGCAAACCTAATGTAGCGCATGTGATCATGGAATGAAATTTATATATAATATTACTATGGATTCTTAGAACCTTGGAGGATAAATAGGGATAAAATAGCCATTAAAGGCTCTCTCATTAAGCATTGCTCTTTTTTTAGTTGGCTTAAGAGGAGAGAGATAAGATGCACTACATGTGGTATTAGAGCAAATGGCACGGGAATAGCTGGTCTACATAATGGAAGGATTGGTAGATTCAGCACAAATATATTTTTACCTTTAAATTTGAAATAGTAGTATTAAGCATTTATATGTACATCCTTCTTTTTGTGTGAAGTATTTATAGACAAAGGTATCTACTGTGGGACTGCGATATAGTGGATGATTAGTTGTTGCAATGGAAAGATTGGTAGATTCAATGCAGAAATGGACGTGTTAATTCCCCTTGGCTCAGTAAGGGTTGTTATTATGGGATGAAAAAGAACGCTTAACCCCAAATATCCCAAAACCCTTAACTACATTGACATCTCTAAAGAGGGGTGAGTGTAGTGTATGTGATCATGGGATGAAAAAAGACGCTTAACCCCAAATATCCCAAAACCCTTAACCAATTAGAAAAAGGGGTGCACTCTTATTTATAGGCCCTTTCCCTTTATATTTGAACCCTATGGACTATCTCTCAAATCGTTCTCTTTAGTTGCTTACAATCTACCATGCTTCCCTATAAGTTCACGCCCTCGTGAATGGAAGTTAAAAGCCGCAACTCTTGATCCACCACGCTTCCCTGCAAATTCACGCCCTCATGAATGGAAATTAAGAGCCGCAGCTCTCGATCCACCACGCTTCCCTGCAAATTCACACCCTCGTGAATGGAAGCTAAGAACCGCAGCTCTCCCGAGAGCCCCGCTCTCTTGACACCCTACCCCTCGAGTCAAGCCCAGCTCAAAGCCGTAGCTCTCTTGACACCCTACCCCTCGGGTCGAGCCCAACAGGAGCAAACTAGATTAGCTAAATGTCAATTAACATATGGTGTGATTCCCTTAGCCAACCAATAGAGTCAGACCCAAGACCGCTCTGATACTAAATATAAGCTTCTAAGTTTGGACTTCCTAGGAGGTCACATAACCCAGTATTATTCAAACTTAATAACATTTAACCCCAAATATCCCAAGACTCTTAACCTATTGGAAAAGGGGGTGCACTCTTATTTATGGGCCCTTTCCTTTTATATTTGAACCCCATGGACAATTTCTTAAGTCGTTATCTTTGGTTACTTATAATTTAGATATACTATCACCGTGGATTCTTAGAACTTTAAGGGATAAATAAGGATAAAATAACCATTAAAAACTTTTTCATCAAGCAATTACCCCTTTTCCAATTGGATTAAAGGAAAAGAAATAAAGTGCATTACACCTAGGGCTTGATTTTTTCTTGGAGATAATGCTCTTTTTTGTTAGCACTAGAAATTTTCATTTTCACTCGTTGTGAAATACTTTTGGGGCAGTGATGAGTTAATAACAGTATTCTTAATGAAGTTTGAAGCCCTAATATTCACAAAATATTTTGAGGTACCAAGTACTTGAAATTTCTATACTAATCTAAGCACTTATTTCTAGGTGTTGATTTCCCCTAGAGCACTTCTCAATCCAAGCATTGCTTATGTGGAATATCAGTTTTTGAATTTTCAGGAATTCACAAAAATTTCATTTGATTTTCAAATTCAGTTTTTCTTTAGTGAGGAGTTTGATAAAACTTACTTGACACTAACTCATTTCCAAATCTTTCTTTCTCCATGGCTGCATACGTGTGGGAAGCGGCAATTGGAGCTCAAAGACAGGATGCAGTATTGGAAACATCCTGGAATTTTACAAACATTTTGAAGGACTGGTGCTGGCTGGTTGATGTTCCCAATGATAGCTACGCCGCAAAGACAAATGGCCTTCATTCTTGCTTTCACACTATGTATTTTGTCCGCTCTTGGAAAGTAACAACTTATAAACAGCATTTGTACTTATTAAATGATTTTATTGACAAGTCAAGGTGGCAAAAATTGACTTTGATAGAAAATGATACATAAATCTTTGAGAGCTTTCACCAACAAATACTCGAGATCATGAAGTTTGTCTTCCTCGCCCTCCTCTTTTCTCTCAACTTGCATCTTGTAAGATCTCTAGTAGAATGCAATGCGAGTGGCTGCGAGCTCAAGAACTATCTCAGAGGTCCATGGCCAGATCGCAGGCCTTGCAAGATCACCAAGGCGTTCTTCCCGACCAACGAGGCCGAGCTCCTCGACGCTGTGGCCTACGCAGTAAAGAGCAAGCAGAAGATCAAAGTGGTAAGCAGGGAGGCACATACCATGACCAAATTCGCATGTCCAAACTCCGGATCCGACACAGGGGGAGTTGTCATCAGCACCGCTAGCTTCAACTCCAACTCGAGCATCGTTGTCGACAAAAGCTCTATGACGGTCTCCACGCCCCCTGGAATCATGCTTGGCGAGCTTATCGATCTCCTGGCGATGCAAGGCGTGACTTTGCACCAGACCATCGCCTGGAACGGCGTGTCGCCAGCGGGCATGGTGAGCACGGGGGGCCATGGCAGCAGCCTTTGGGGTCGCGGGGGAGGAACTTACGAGTACCTCGTGTCCATGAGAATCGTCGTTCCGGCCTCCAAGAACGAAGGCTTTGCTAAAGTTGTCACGGTCGCGGAGGGGAGTGATCTGTTCCACGCCGCCAGGATCTCGCTGGGAGTTCTTGGAGCTGTTTCCCAGCTGACGTTCTCCGTACAGCCCATGACGAAGAGGTCTGTGACGCTGTCGGTGGCGGACGATGCGTCTCTGGAAGAGGACTTCTTGACATTGGCTCAGGAGCACGAGTTCGCGGAAGTATCGTGGTTCAGCTCGCAGAAGAAATTTGTGTCGAGGATCGATGACAAAGCGCCACTCTCGGTGCCAGGAAATGGCGCTGAGACTACAGCTCTGTTTCTTACCGTCCAGGCTGCTGCTGCCAGGAGTTCAAGACTGAGCCGTCAGTCCTCTATATCCCTGTCCCGGATTTTCCTTCCTTTCGTGCTCTCCGACTGATCTTACAATTGAATGTTTTCCAGAAGAAGCAGCTGAAGCGATTGGGAATTCAACCTTCTTCTGCTCCGTTGCTAAGAACACCGTGAACACCGTTACTTCCACGGGTGGCGGATTTTTCAATGATGAGCAGCAGCAACATTTCTCGGGATTCCCTGTGGTCGGATACTTCCACAAGTTTCAAGCTCGAGGAGGCTGCCAGTACACCTACAGCAACTCCACCAATTTGGCTCTTCCGGAGTCTGAGAGGCTCGTCTGCGGCTGGGACTTCCGTGCTTATGGCCAATTCTGGTTCCACGTCTCTATAGCTATCTCCATCAGCGATGTTGGCAACTTTATCCGAGACGTGAAGCAGTTGAGAGACTTGTCGCCAGAACGTCTCTGTCTGCTTGACACTTCCATGACATTATTCATTAGATACTTGAAAGCTTCTCAGGCTTACCTTGGACCGAAGACTGACGCAGCAGAGATTGAGTTCATGACGTTCCGAGACAGGAGGCCAGGGGAACCACAGACGTACGAGGACGTTGCTGAGGAGATAGAGCAGCTTTTACTGTTTAAGTATAACGGGAAGCCACACTTCGGGAAGAACAGGCCGCATGCATTCCGGGACATTGGAAGGAAGACGAAGAATTTGTCTAAGTTTCTTTCGGCTAGGAGGAAGTTGGATCCACAAGGATGGTTTTCAAGTGATTGGTCTGACTCAGTGCTGGGAATCCGAGGAAGTCCGGTGACAGCAAAGGATGGATGTGCTTTGGAAGGACTGTGTGTTTGCAGCGAAGCCAGGCACTGTGCTCCAGACAAAGGATATTTTTGCAGACCAGGACTTGTTTATCGCGAGGCAAGAGTCTGTAGCAATAGAAGTTAAGATGCATCATTTCTCCTTGTTTGTTGTTCAGGTCTGAGATGTGCTCAGTAATTGTTTTAGTGTAAGGAATATACTTAAAATATCAGATTATATTTTTTAAAGAATCAAGAAGGTCAACAAGTTAAAAAGTCAAAAAAATTATTCCAGACAGTTCCTCTTCTTCGTTGAGCCTGCCCTCTGCAATACGTCTCTAACTATAGAAGTCGTCCATCTCTGGCATCCCCTTCAAGAAAAAAATCTCTGGCCTTGATCATCCTCCTGTTCTTGAGCTAGGCTGTCGTCCTCTCACATTGAGGATCTCCCTTGCAGCAGCCAAATACTCCAGCTTGGGCGATCATTGTTGCCCGTGACACAATGTCTCTCTTGGGCCCAATCTAGCTCTTGTTCGTCCTATAACCTTGTTAACCGCTTTGAGGAATTCTTAACAGTTTATCCAGATAAATATTTTAAATTTATATCTATCAATAAGCTACCTAGAGTTTTTCTTTGCTGTAGATTGAAAGGAGGTAGCAGGTCAGCATCAATGAGGGTAAGTCAAGAAGAAGGTGGAGTTGAACCCACAATCAACTTATATGTGGATTTAAACAGTTTTAAATAGATATGATATAGCTTCAGCTCAAGCCAATCAAGTATCTCACTTAGATCAAACAAAAACTGCGAGCGAGCATTCTCCCAGACTCCCTGAATATCTGGGGTTTGTACAACTTAAGGGTTTATTTAGAATATTCATTAATTTGTTGAGGAAAATTTTTAAAAAATGTACCAAATTATGAAAAGAGGAATAAAAGGAAATAACTAAAAATATTATCCTAATTTTTTATTTTTTTTGGAAACCCTAAAAAACACATAATTTAGTGCCCTAATGACCGATTTTTAAAGTGTTTTTAGAGTGGGATAAAAGAACCTTTAAATTGCACACCCATCAAAACTTTAATGACCTGTAGAACTATGGAGTTTTATCTCCAATGCTTGATAGGTTGTCTTAGCTGGGCAGGAGATGATGTTCCTCTTCTTTGTTTGCACTAGAGAAATTTGAGATTTCACTCATTGTGAATCATTAATATGATATAATTATATGAAATCTTTATTGGCAATCTCAACTTATGTGGCAAAGCGATATGTGCCAAATAATGGTATTTTTGAAGCCCTACAGTGAGGCCAGTTACTTGAAATTACTACGCTGATAGGCACTAGCATTTCTAGGAGAATACTAATTCAGTAATTAACAATCTCTTTTGATTTTTCAAGATTTTACAAGAGTTTCATTTGAATTTCATTAACTATGAAATTCAATTTTTCTCTACTGTGGAGTTTGATCAAGGTTTACTTGACTCAAATCTTTCTTTCTCCTTGACTGCATTGCTTTACTTGCGGGAAGTGACAGGATGGAATTTTACAAGCATTTTGAAGGATTGGTGCTCCCAGTGATAGATAGGCCGCAAAGACAAATGGCCTTCATTGACTGATTCTTGCTTTCATACCACCAAGTAACATAGGGTTTGTCAACCCACCAATATACTAATTATTAAATCATTTTATTGACGATAAGTCTTTGAGAGCTTTCACCACCAAGTACTCGAGATCATGAAGTTCGTCCTCCTCGCCCTCCTCTTTTCTCTCAACTTGCATCTTGTAAGATCTCTAGTAGAATGCGATGCGAGTGGCTGCGAGCTCAAGAACTATCTCAGAGGTCCATGGCCAGATCGCAGGCCTTGCAAGATCACCAAGGCGTTCTTCCCGACCAACGAGGCCGAGCTCCTCGACGCCGTGGCCTACGCAGTCAAGAGCAAGCAGAAGATCAAAGTGGTAAGCAGGGAGGCACATACCATGACCAAATTCGCGTGTCCAAACTCCGGATCCGACACAGGGGGGGTTGTCATCAGCACCGCTAGCTTCAACTCCAACTCGAGCGTCGTTGTCGACAAGAGCTCTATGACGGTCTCCACACCCCCTGGAATCATGCTTGGCGAGCTTATCGATCTCCTGGCGATGCAAGGCGTGACTTTGCACCAGACCATCGCCTGGGACGGCGTGTCGCCGGCGGGCATGGTGAGCGCGGGGGCCCATGGCAGCAGCCTTTGGGGTCGCGGCGGAGGAACTTACGAGTACCTCGTGTCCATGAGAATCGTCGTTCCGGCCTCCAAGAACGAAGGCTTTGCTAAAGTTGTCACGGTCGCGGAGGGGAGTGATCTGTTCCACGACGCCAGGATCTCGCTGGGAGTTCTTGGAGCTGTTTCCCAGCTGACGTTCTCCGTACAGCCCATGACGAAGAGGTCTGTGACGCTGTCGGTGGCGGACGATGCGTCTCTGGAAGAGGACTTCTTGACACTGGCTCGGGAGCGCGAGTTTGCGGAAGTGTCGTGGTACAGCTCGCAGAAGAAATTTGGGAAGAAATGCACAATACAGCACGCTCACTCCTTGCTTCCTCCGTGGCGCTTAGTCACGCCCAGCTCTGCACCCTAAATGTTTAACGCTAAATTTTAATTAGTAGATGCTGTTAACGGATATGTTAAGGACTATAATTTTATAATTAGCCAGTGAATGAACGGCTATAATTTATAAGTATATAACCTACGATTGGTTTAGGTTTTTCCTCATTGTGTTTTATGTTTGTGCTCCTTATATTTTCTTTCTTATTTTATTCATTCTCTTTAGTATTATGGTTAGACTAATTGCTTTGCTTATTTTATTCATTCTCTTTAGTATTGGAATATTCTTTTAGTTTTTGTATTACTGTTGGTCTTCTTCCACAAGAGAGAGAAAGGAAGCTACATTTAATATTCTATGTAGTCATATTAAGCTATACAATCAAGATAATGCTGTTATAGTAGAATAAATAATATATTTGATTTTGTACTTTTAAATACTTAAAAATAGTTGAAAATAATATACAGTAATGAGGTGGCATGTGCATGTAAGCAATGAGGTGGCATGCAAATCCAAATAAGCAAACGGGGCCCACCCTAAATAAAGGGGGGTCATTCTACCCGAAATTTGTGTCGAGGATCGATGACAAAGCGCCACTCTCGGTGCCAGGAAATGGCGCTGCAGCTCTGTTTCTTCCCGTCCAGGCTGCTGCTGCCAGGAGTTCAAGTCCTCTATATCCCTGTCCCGGATTTTCCTTTCCTTTCGTGCTCTCCGACTGATCTTAAAATTGAATGTTTTCCAGAAGAAGCAGCTGAAGCGATTGGGAATTCAACCTTCTTCTGCTCCGTTGCTAAGAACACCGTAAACACCATTACTTCCACGGGTGGCGCATTATTCAATGATGAGCAGCAGCAACATTTCTCGGGATTCCCTGTGGTCGGATACTTCCACAAGTTTCAAGCTCGAGGAGGCTGCCAGTACACCTACAGCAACTCCACCAATTTGGCTCTTCCGGAGTCTGAGAGGCTCGTCTGCGGCCAGGACTTCCGAGCATATGGCCAATTCTGGTTCCACGTCTCGGTATCTATCTCCATCAGCGACGTCGGCAGCTTTATCCGGGACGTGAAGCAGTTGAGAGACTTATCACCAGAACGTCTTTGTCTGCTTGATACTACCCTTAGATTCTTGAAAGCTTCTCAGGCTTACCTTGGACCGAAGAATGACGCGGCACAGATTGAGTTCATTACGTTCCGAGACAGGAGGCCAGGGGAACCACAGACGTACGAGGACGTTGCTGAGGAGATAGAGCAGCTCTTACTGTTTAAGTATAACAGGAAGCCACACTTCGGGAAGAACAGGCCACATGCATTCCGGGACATTGGAAGGAAGACAAATAATTTGTCTAAGTTTCTTTTGGCAAGGAATAAGTTGGATCCACAAGGATGGTTTTCAAGTGATTGGCCTGACTCAGTGCTGGGAATTCGAGGAAGCCCGGTGACCACAAATGATGGATGTGCTTTGGAAGGACTGTGTGTTTGCAGCGAAGCCAGGCACTGTGCTCCAGACAAAGGATAGTTTTGCAGACCAGGAGTTGTTTATCGCGAGGCAAGAGTCTGCAGCAATAGAAGTTAAGATGCATCATTTCTCCTTGTTTGTTGTTCAGTTCTGAGATGTGCTCAGCAATTGTTTTAGTGTAAGGAATATACTTAAAATAAAAGTCATTCCAGACAGTTCCACTTCTTTGTTGAACCTGCTTTCTGCAATACGTCTGTAACCATAGAAGTCGTCCATCTCTGGCATCCCTTCAAGAGAAAAATCTCTGGCCTTGATCATCCTCCTGTTCTTGAGCTAGGCCGTGAGAGATGCGTCCTCTCACATTGAAGATCTCCCTTGCGGCAACAATCTCCAGTTTGGGCGACCATTGTTGTCCATGACACGATGCCTCTTGGGCTCAATCTAGCCTTGTTAACCGCTTTGAGGAACTTTTCAGATAAATATTTAAATTTATATCTATCAATAAGCTGCCTAGATTTTTTCCTTGCTGTAGATTGAAAGGAAGAGGAGGAGGCTAAGGTAGCAGGCCAGCATCAAGTGAGGGTAGGTCAAGAAGAAGGTGGAGTTGAACCCACAATCAACTTATATGTGGATTTAAACAGCTTTAAATAGATATAAATTAGTTTCAGCTCAAGCCCATCAAACAAAAACTACGAGCATGCATTCTGAATATCTGGGGTTTATACTAAAAGTTTGTGAGTGTGTACAACTTAAGTCTAGGGCACCCAAAATATTCCATTCAGTCATATTAGGCAAACATGAAAAAACACCATTTGGTACCGAATGGTGTTTTTTGGGTTATAATTGGAAGCAAGCAATTTGTACACCATTTACAAGCACAATTAAGAGAAGATTGAGTTGTTGTTTTTGTCATAGAGTCAAAAAAGGCTTAAAGCTATATTAAGTGTTTCAAGTGTGTTATGATTATAGATTTCAAGTTGCGGTGATCTCCATAGTTTTGCAGAAGAAAGTTTTTATAAATTTCAATTTTATGATATAATGACTTATTTTGGAGAGACTTGAATGCTCAAACTTGAATAACTCATATGATGAAATTGTATGATTTAATAATATGTCCTTTAAAAGTATAAATAACAATGAGAATGTGTGCTAACATGCTAGATGTTCTTTTGAATAAGGGATTTCCAGAAAGGTTTTAGCATAGACTCTGTAAACATCATAATCATGCAAAATGAGAAACATTTTGTGTTTAAATTTTTTATAAGTGATTAATAACTATATATTTTAAGTATATGCTCCGAATATATGCTGAGGTGGCTGCTGCCGTAATTAAATTGCACATCATAACCCATCTATAGGACATGCATGGGATATTCATTTCACAAATTGCACACCATACTAACTACTCTTTGCTAGCCAGTGTAGGCTTTGTCAACCAACCAGCATTTATTTCTAATATACTAATTATCAAATGATTTCACTGACGTAAGTCAAGGTGGCATTTGATAGAAAATGATCCATAAATCTTTGAGAGCTTTCACCAACAAGTACTCGAGATCATGAAGTTCGTCCTCCTCGCCCTCCTCTTTTCTCTCAACTTGCATCTTGTAAGATCTCTAGTAGAATGCGATGCGAGTGGCTGCGAGCTCAAGAACTATCTCAGAGGTCCATGGCCAGATCGCAGGCCTTGCAAGATCACCAAGGCGTTCTTCCCGACCAACGAGGCCGAGCTCCTCGACGCCGTGGCCTACGCAGTCAAGAGCAAGCAGAAGATCAAAGTGATAAGCAGGGAGGCACATACCATGACCAAATTCGCGTGTCCAAACTCCGGATCCGACACAGGGGGAGTTGTCATCAGCACCGCTAGCTTCAACTCCAACTCGAGCGTCGTCGTCGACAAGAGCTCCATGACGGCCTCCACACCCCCTGGAATCATGCTTGGCGAGCTCATGGATCTCCTGGCGATGCAAGGCGTGACTTTGCACCAGACCATCGACTGGGACGGCGCGTCGCCAGCGGGCATGGTGAGCACGGGGGCTCACGGCAGCAGCCTGTGGAGTCGCGGCGGAGGAACTTACGAGTACCTCGTGTCCATGAGAATCGTCGTCCCGGCCTCCGAGAAGGAAGGCTTTGCCAAAGTTGTCACGGTCGCGGAGGGAGATGACCTGTTCGACGCCGCCAGGATCTCGCTGGGAGTTCTTGGAGCTATTTCCCAGCTGACGTTCTCCGTACAGCCCATGACGAAGAGGTCTGTGACGCTGTCGGTGGCGGACGATGCGTCGCTGGAGGACGACTTCTTGAGGCTGGCTCGGGAGCACGAGTTTGGGGAAGTGTTGTGGTACAGCTCGCAGAAGAAATACGTGTGGAGGACCGATGACAGAGCGCCACTCTCGGTGCCAGGAAATGGGGCTTTGATTAGAGTTCCGTTTCTTCCCGTGCAGGCTGCTGCTGCTAGGAGTTCAAGACTGAGCCGTCAGTTCTCTTTATCCACGTCCCTGTTTCCTTCTTTCCAAATCTTCCTTTCCTGCTGCTTCCGACTGATCTTAAATTGTCTGTTCCAGAAGAAGCAGCTGAAACGATTGGAAATTCAACCTTCTTTTGCTCCGCGGCTAAGAACACGGTAAACACCATCACTTCCACGGGTGGCGGATTCGTCAACGATGAGCAGCAGCAACGTTTCTCGGGATTCCCTGTGGTCGGATACTTCCACAAGTTTCAAGCTCGCGGAGGCTGCCAGTACACCTACAGCAACTCCACCAACTTGGCTCTTCCGGAGTCTGAGAGGCTCGTCTGCGGCTGGGACTTCCGAGCACATGGCCAATTCTGGTTCCACGTCTCGGTATCTATCTCCATCAGCGATGTTGGCAACTTTATCCGAGACGTGAAGCAGTTGAGAGACTTGTCGCCAGAACGTCTCTGTCTGCTTGACACTTCCATTGCATTACAGATTAGATACTTGAAAGCTTCTCAGGCTTACCTTGGACCGAAGACTGACGCAGCACAGATTGAGTTCATTACATTCCGAGACAGGAGGCCAGGGGAACCACAGACGTACGAGGACGTTGCTGAGGAGATAGAGCAGCTTCTACTGTTTAAGTATAACGGGAAGCCACACTTCGGGAAGAACAGGCCGCATGCATTCCGAGACATTGGAAGGAAGACGAAGAATTTGTCTAAGTTTCTTTCGGCTAGGAGGAAGTTGGATCCACAAGGATGGTTTTCAAGTGATTGGTCTGATGCTGTGCTGGGAATCCGAGGAAGTCCGGTGACAGCAAAGGATGGATGTGCTTTGGAAGGACTGTGTGTTTGCAGCGAAGCCAGGCACTGTGCTCCAGACAAAGGATATTTTTGCAAACCAGGACTTGTTTATCACGAGGCGAGAGTCTGCAGCAATAGAAGTTAAGAAAAAAAAAGTCATCCAATAAATGGTAAATAAAGTATTTCAAACCTCAGAAGCTTGATCCCAATTGATACATTAAAACAGAAGGAACAAATTAAGTATCGGAATCACGACGCACGATACCTGCTCAAAGTTGTCGTCGTGAAAGCCAGCCAACAGGCCGGCTGCACGACGCACGAGTGTGGACTCAAATGATGATAAAGCTTGCATCAAACAATTCTTATTGTGCTCGAGCACGACTGTACAAAACAAACTCACAACAACGGAAAGAACTTACGGAATGGGAGAGCTCCGGGTACGCATGAGACCAGTCGGACGGAACTCAGGCGGGGGACGCGGGAGCAATCCAATCGCCAGAATTCCGCCAAGAAGTGCTGCCGCAGCGGCCAAGAGGAAAGAAGGCATGTTTCCTCCGCCGAAGAGAGCATCCCAGGGACCGCTTCCCAACGAGATCATCACCTACACAAGTTTCACACAATTAACGCTCTTCGTTCCTTCTTGGTTCGGCTTCGTTCGGACACTTACCTGAGGTAGCACGACTGCCAAGTTAAGTACTCCCATGGACAAGCCTGTTTCATCAACGCGCGCAAAGCTCCTCAGGAGAAAATAAACACGGAAAGCGATCGAAAACGACAGTACCTTGACCACCACCGATGGAGCTCGTAAATGTCGCGGTCAGAGCATAAGGGACGCTATACGTGACCTGCACAAAGGCGTGATGAAAGTTAAGAAGCTCTGTAACGGTCATCCCTCTCTCGTTTTACTCACTGCTAGAGGTGCTCCAAGCACAGCGAAAACGGCAAGTGCAGCGGCTCTCACGGACTTCGGAGGCTGCCTTGGTCCATCCCCGGAGGTCCTTTCAGCAGCAAGCGTTATGAGCACTGTGAGAGCGAAACATATCGACATAATCACGTTGGCGATCCCCCAGACATTGCTTGCTCCCATCCTCCGGCAAGATGGTTCTATCAAGAGCGAAGTCAATCCCAGGACCACTGAGTTGAGCATCAGACCGAGAGACCCCGTTCGAACACCCGTATCGTACAAATAAGCGAGCAGCCTGTTCGAGGAGTTCGGTTCTCCCCTGTAAACTTCCCGTCCCATCCAGTCCGTGTCGAAGAGTAGAAAAGGGAACCAGGCGAACCAGGTTAAGGCCGTCACCGCCATGATATACCACATTGGTCGTGGAAGTTCCTTAAACGTCCCCAGAAGTTCCCATATAAAAGCCTCCTGGACGGGCTCTTCTTCTTCCTCCTCCTCTTCCTCGTCATCCGGATTCACACGAGCTACCGAGGTGCTTGGAGTCGTCGCCGTCGTCGTCTTGCCGCTACCATTCTCCTGGTCTGGCAGCAAAGGCGTCTGCGGCGTTGTGATGCCAAACTTCTCTCCCGCTGTGAGAGGCAACCATGGAATCTCTGCCGCTGCAGTAACGCTCAGCGCTGTCGTAATGAGCAGTATGATGATGTCCAGCAAAAACGCCGACTTGAGGTTGGCACACGGTAGCTCGCAGGCCTTCGTTTTCGTGAAAGGAAACAGGCTCGGCCAGCTGTTGTAGGAGCCTGCTGCAAATCCCAGAATGTTCCCGAGAGCAATGAAAAGCGAGAAGAACGCATTCGCTCGTCTCGTTCTCCGTTGATCCTTTCCTGCGAAACAAAACCACACTGTAAGTTCTCACAAAGAAGATGGTATAGCTTGTCACCTGTGAAGTCGGCGAGGAGCGCTCTACAAGGCCCCTGGAGAGTGTTGTTGGCGAGATCGAGCAGCCAAAACCCGAGGATGAAGACCACGATGGCTCGCGGCCTAGACTTCCCCGAGTCGCCAAGCACGAAGCCCAAGTCCGCCGCGAAAGAGATGATCACCACGGCGATGACGACGGACACCGCGCCGAGGAGGATGAAAGGCCTCCTCCTCCCATACTTGCTCTCGCAGTTGTCGCTGTAGTAGCCGACGATGGGCTGGACCAGCATTCCAGAGATCGGCCCACACAGCCATATGTAGCTCGCGAAAGTGTGAGGAATCCCGAGCTCCTGGACGTAAGGCGTGAGCAAAGAGAGCTGGAGCGCCCACCCAAACTGGACGCCGGCCGCGACACAAGCCACCCGAGCGAGCGATCGCAGTGGAACCCTGCTGCTCTTCAATCGCCTGGGGCTCCTGGGGAGATCCATGCCGCGGCAGCCCTGGCGATCACACAAGCCAATCAATCCATGAGCTCCCTGGCCGATATTTCACGATCGCCCATCGCTACTTCGCGATCGCGCTATATTTCCAAACCTCAATTCACCGCATGGAAGAAATGCGGAGCTGGATCGTCGCTGGAGCTCCCGCCGCGATGTGGATGGCGGCCGAAGTACTAGGGCAGGGTTTGGAACACACATGCAATGACGTGGCAGGCCAGGTCATTGACACGTCATCATGCCCTAACTAATCAGCTTTCGTCTCCTTCCCCTCCCGCTAGTTTTTGACCTAAATTCCGGCATTGGATCACTCGCGAGTGGAGGATTGATCCTTCTTTGGTTTATAATTTTTCTCGATTTTGGTTCTATTTCTGTTCCTTGGATCCTGACTGAGCAACGTGTTGTCACGTTAGCCTGCGTCGCTCTCAAACTTTGTGTAGAATCCCAGCATTGGGGCCTCTTTCTTGCGATATCTTACCGGCAGCACCTATCGATCTAGCAGTCCTCGCCCAATTTTGATGAAGTGGGCTCGACCTGGTTGATCGCGTCCTTCGTTTCCATGGATTCTTATGGCCCAGAACGATGCCCGAATATTTACCCCGCCCGTGGATATTCCTCGGATATGCTTCGGCGTTCACATGGTTTTACCAAACTAGAATCTGACACAGGGAAAAAGATAAAAAGGAGAGAGGGAGGGAGAGAGAGAGAGAGAGAGAGCTCTTGAGCTCTTCATTGCATTGATTCTTCGATCGAATCCTCAAGAACACTGGAGTGACTAGTTTGATCTCTCGAAGGGCGCTGGAAAAACTTAAAGAGTGAATCTCGAGTGATGGGTTGTCTAGAAATCCAGGTTTTGTAGATACCCTCCACATTTTTTCGCTGTTTTATACTTTTTTTTTCTCTCTTTTCCAGAGTGTGCATTGTCCTCTTGCTCCAGAGCTCAGTGAGTGAGTGAGTGTGTGAGTGGTTTGCCTTTTTCTTGTTCTTGAGTCGGCCCTGTTTTCTCGCTGGTTTAGTCCACTCCACCACTCCAGAGTTACTCCTTCCGGTGATTTGGGGAATTTCTTCTGGCCACCACAATCTTGTGTTCTTTGGAGCGATGGTGGAATTGGAAGCTTGGAGGAGCTTGGCCGGAGCTTTCTCTGGATTCCGTGAGAGATAAGGTACCTACATTGGGTTTTTTGGTCGAGTTTCTCCCCCGGATCAAAGACGATCACACGGACATGGAGGGACTTTTCTCGTTTCCAGATCTGTGTGGGAGCTCCATTGATTCGCCCTTGAATCTTTCCACGCGGCTCGTTAAGTTGACTGTGCCATCCACAGGTCTTGGGCTTCATTGCATATAGTACTGTTCTACTGGATAGCCATGGGATCAGAAGAACAGGAGGGAATTCCCATGGAAGAAAATGGTCACGCTCAAGTTTCGCAAGAACACCAAGTAGTTCCAGTGTCCACTCCGGAAGAAATTGTCGAGCGAAGCATCCAAGTCCAAGCGGTAGAAAACCAAACAGCGCCATCCTCTTCGTCTTCATCCTCGTCGATCTCCTCTTCGGTTCCAGCTGAAAGGTTGGTTTTTTTCTTCTTTTTTTCTCTATTTTGTACCATGAGCTTATAAGTTTCAGGAAGGTTTCCACCGAAGAGTCTACTGCTATTATTGAATCTCTTAGAGCCAGGCTCTTGTCCGAGAGAAACTCTTCCAGAGCTGCGAAGCAACACGTCCAACAACTTACGAAAAAGGTGGAAGTTTTTCTCTCTTTTTTTCTTGTGCTGTGTTCTTATATTCGAGCTCACGGGTTTTCTCGCAGGTGAAAGAGTTGGAACGAAGCCTGGAAGCCGAGATCCATCACCGAAAGAGATGCGAGGACGTGATCCAAGAGCTACTGCTCAAGCTGGACGAGGCCGGAGTGAAGCTGGCCCCGGAAAACTCCAACTCAGCCAGCGACGATGCACAACTAGACGATGACGACGAGGAGCAAGCAACCGCATCCAAGAAATCCAAGCCAAACTGGATCGGCGTCGCCAAGCGACACTACTCGGACATGGAAGGTGATACGATCGAGCAAAGCAGCCCCTCGGAATCGCCAGTCTCGGACTCTTCGCTCGTCCCAAGACGAGTGGGAAGATCATGTCGAACTCTCCGAAGGAAGGAAGCATGGTATTCCAAACTCTCTTTCACTTTTCCTTGCCTGGTTTTCTATGATCCTATCCTTCTATTGTTCCAGGGAACTTGGAGTTGACGAACAAGTGAAAAACTCCTGGACGAAAGTTGGAGCCGACGTTGTCGAGCTTGCGAAGATCCGGGAGGTGGCGGGGAGCGAGAGTGGATGGCTGGCCCGTGTCATGGATCTGTTTGAGAGCAAATCTTGGAGTGGAGAACAGCTCGTTTTCGACAAAGTTGATCAGCAGCAGCAAGAGATTTCCACTGCGTCTCCGGAAAGCGATGGCAGCAGTAGCAGTAGCAGCAGCAGCAGCAGCGGCAGCAGCGTTGTTGGTATGGAGGCCAGCGCCACGAACGTCAAGAACAGCGGGATTTCTGGCGAGAACTTTAATGCTCCTCACGATCACGACCCGAGTGACGGTGGACTCCAGGTACTTTGTGTCGTTTGCTACTGCCAAGTTTGTACGATGCCCTTGTTTTCATTGTCAGGCTGTTACCACCAACAACGCGGGATCGAGCGGAGAAATCATTCAAACTTCTCCCGAAGTTCACGAAGAACAAGCTTGCATGGGAGGAGAAGAAGCAGCGGTTTCTTGTAGCCAACAGGAGCCACCGGTTTCCACCGAAGAAACGCTCAAGGTTTCGGAGAGTTTAGAATCTGGGGTGAGATCACAGGGAAACGAGGCTAGAAATCTTCAGACAGGAGAGCAAAGCTCTACGCAATCTTCGTCTTCAAATGGTTTCGGCGCTCCTGGTAACACCAGCGTGGAAGACATTCTAAGAGCTTTAAGGATTGCCAAGAACCAAGTTTTAGCGGTAGCAGGGAAGCATGGAGGCTTTGTTCAAAGTGGTGGTGGCGCAGAGTTTCCGACGAGCATTGCTTCTTACAATGTGGAGTGGCAGCCGAGAGGTGAGAGTGGGGGCAATGGGTTTGTGGTAACCAGACCTCTAGCTCGGTTTGTTCATGCTGCTGCTCCCCAAGGCTACCATCAGCAGCACCACCACATGAATTTCGAAGCTCATAATGTCTTGTCAAATAGGTGAGGCTCGCCACTGCCATGTTTTAGAAGTAGAACTCATCTCAATGGATAATTGAAAGATTGTACTTGGGTTTAAAGTTTAGGGTTTAAAAATATAGTTTGCATTTTGGCTCTTCAGCAAGTTTATGTATCACTTAATTTTCTTGTATTTTATTTTTGGTTTGCTTAAGCGAAGGGGGTAATGAACATACCTAGAATGTGCTTGGATATTTTAAGATATTCTACCATTTAACGGTATTTATAAACATGTTTATAATTTATAAAATTCTTAAACCCTTTCTAGTATATTCTTTTTTATTTACAATAAGATTAATCTTGTGTTTATAAATTATTATAATATAAACTTTATTTGATCAATTAGATTAATAAGTAAAAATAAAACTACCATTAAGCAAACCAAGTGTTGCTACATACAATGCATAGCAATTTTTTAAGGAAATGCTACCAGCATTAAATGAAGAAAAAAGAAATAAAAATAGTTTTAAATGAGAAAATTCAATAAATATATTCTAACACAGTGAATTTCTTAAAATCTATTGGAAATGAGTTTATTAGTGTGGATAATATGGTTTAAATCATATAACTAACAAGTTTTAATATCAAATTCATCCTCACATTGCCATGAAACAGCATGCTCCTGAGAAATCAAAGCGATCAAACCAAGCCAGTATTGCAGCGCATTCCAGCAGATTGCATTCCTTCCAGTGATCCGATCAAAGCACTGTTCCGCACTCTTGGCCTTGCCAATCTTCTATAAACCACAACGATCGGTGCCATGTGGTACCCTTCACATGGATCAGCCCTGTCTTGAGCTGTTCGCTCCACCCTTGGTATTAGAGAAGCAAAGCCTACAATCCAATTGGTTCTTTAAAAGGTGATAGTTCCATTGCCGAATCGCTGGAAGCAGTTATGAATTTGGTGGGAATTCACCCTCACACAGGAAGAAGGGTTGTCTCATGAGTAAGCCCTCTCCACAAGTTTTTAAAGGCAGGAGAATTCATTATATTTCATGAAATTCCACAATTTCAGAAAAGTTCAAGCTTCCTTCTTTCAACAGGGATGGTCAGATAAACAAAAATCAGGTTGGCTCTCCAGTCTCTTCATAGCCAACAAGGTCAATGGGTGGTCTACATACAGCATGAATATTTGCAATGACAACTTGGCCAACACATGTGGAATGCTAATAATGAGGAACTCTAGGATCATCTGTGTAGATATGAGCTAGGCTTGGATTGGCTAGACCTCAAGTTTGAAGAAAGATTCTTAAGCCTTGATAGTTATCATCTTATGCTCAAAATTCGGATAAAGAAGCAGAAGGAATCTAAGATAGTGTGGGTTTATACAGATGTTTAACTGTAGTGTAGCTAAGGCCTTCAATGCTTCAAGATTGGCAGTTGTGAGATTATTTCTTAGATGGACTAAAGAAATACTTGTTCATGAGGATGGAGAATCAATTTCCTAAGATGTTGTAAGGGGTGCTTAAGAGTTGGCGGTCAAAGAGTTGTTCAAGTAGGCAAATACATTATAGGATTTCATTCCTGCAATGAAATCTAAAGCTAAAGGTAGGAAGGGTAGATCATCAAATGGCAACTTTTGGGAAGAAGCTAGTAAATTGAGCATTTGGGGAAGCTAAAGAGTTAGAAATACTTTTGATGCAAAAGAGATGATCACTAGGCCAAGAATTATCTTTTGAATCATAAAGGATTTTAATGTTGCTTCATGCTTTTATCCTTCACTCTGTGGGCTGCATGGAGTTTAATTCTGTTCCTTCGTTTAGTGGTTTAAGGCCCTAAAACTTGGGTTCTACTTTGTTACCCTTGGACATGGGGGTTTAGGTTTTATTCCATGATAATCCTATGATAAATCATTATAGGGTAAAAGGTGAAAATTACATGTAATACAATTTTCATCCCAAAGTTGAGGCATTCACTAGCCTTGAATGTGATTTTAAAGTTATACTTTACATTTGATCCTAGTACTCCACTCATTTT